TGTCAGTGCTCCAATCTCCTTTTTTTTTTCTCAATTCCGCATTATTTATTTATAAATAGGATGTAAACTTCACACAATTAACTTGTACAAAGCATATTCAAATGTAAAGATTAAGGGTTAATCAACCTACTTGAATCGGTGTAATGTCCTAAATTGTAGTTATTCAGACTACTATAACGAGGCATAAGGCTACTTCTANCAAATTGATGTAGTCAAGTGGGAGAGCAACATAGAAAAACCCTATCAAAGTCCAACTCTCGAATGTATGTTGTGGACAAGCTTAGAGAAAATACTTGAATCTCTCCCAAAATTGGTAGAAAGTTTCTCTCTTTGACCGAAAAATTCATGATTATTCTTTTAAGTGCATTTGTGCGGTGTAAAGGGAAAAATTTCTTGAAAAACTCAGTTTGTAACACTTGCCAACTAGATATGGAATGGACTTTTAAAGAATTGAACCATTGTTTAGTTTTGCCTTTTAAAAAGAAAGGAAAAAGTTTTAACTTGGCTAGTTCATTATTATATTGGAACGTCTCACGTATCTCCTCAAATTCTTTAATATGTAAATATAAGTTCTCTGATTCGAGTCCATGAAATTGAGGTAATAACTGCATTATACTAAACTTCACATTGAAGTTGAGTGCATTTGTAAGAAACACAAAATAAGAGGGGACACTACTCCGTATGGGATGTAAAAACTCCCTTAGAGTTTGAACATTAAGAATTTCTTCCTCTCTTTGATTATTGGTCATACTATTATCAAAGGAGTTTGGTATTGATCGACGTGAAGAGGGTGGATGATTCACAGACCCAAGNAACATTAAGAATTTCTTCCTCTCTTTGATTATTGGTCATACTATTATCAAAGGAGTTTGGTATTGATCGACGTGAAGAGGGTGGATGATTCACAGACCCAAGTGATTCTTCAGACGAATCTTGAAAGAGAAGATATTCCTCAGACATAAAAAAAAAAAAGAATTATTTATAANACGTGAAGAGGGTGGATGATTCACAGACCCAAGTGATTCTTCAGACGAATCTTGAAAGAGAAGATATTCCTCAGACATAAAAAAAAAAGAATTATTTATAAAAAAACTAAAATATATACACAACAAATCTATGCCTCTTCACTTTTTACTTCAAAACACCGTTTGTTTTCCAGCCACGGCGCAAAAAATTTGACTTCTTTTGAAAGGTGTACACCCAAGTGCAGTCGATCAACTTGTAGTTATAATCTGATTAAGTTCGGAATCGAATCCATAGGGAACTCATGTCGATGTTTTAAAGTTAAACCCTTGAAGTTTAAAGTTGAGATGATGATGGAATTTTCTAACAAACTATAAGATTCTCTCAAACAAAAATAAAACCCATTATTTAGTTCGAGGATCCGACATGTGCGGATGTGTTCGGATGCCATGTTTGTGTAATATTAATTACTCAATTAACTCCTACGTTAGTAACAAGTTAATCAGAGGATAAAGATGAAATGTGTAAATTAAGAGTATGACTCTGATGTCTTTATAGAAAATCATAAGAATTGATTATGCCAAGACTTAACCTGTCTATAAACAATCAAATAATTCTACAAAGCATCTAGATTAGTTACGCTATTCAATCATAAGTTAAGGCACAATGTAAATAAAGATTGTAAGATTGTCATGAATACCTAGCTTAGATACTTGTAGGGAATCGTTAGAATCACCTATGCGAAGACTTAGTTCGTCTATAAGTGATCAACAATTGTACAAAGCACTTTAGTTTTGCTAAATGCATTCAATCATTCATCATATAAAGGAAAAGATAAGACAATAAACATAAATGAAGTGCACAAATATAACTTCTAAACAATAGTTTACATGTCATTCATCTCTTACTAAAGAGTGGATGAGAAACTACTCATTCTTTATGACTTTGACGAAATTAGCAAAGTGAGTGAATCTCATCTCCCTAATAGAGAAGCTTTAGAATTACAAAGNTTCATCTCTTACTAAAGAGTGGATGAGAAACTACTCATTCTTTATGACTTTGACGAAGTTAGCAAAGTGAGTGAATCTCATCTCCCTAATAGAGAAGCTTTAGAATTACAAATGTAAAATCACAAGAAACAAAATGATTGTCTTCAACTAAGAATGAGTGAGACACTACCCACCCTTTAAAGTCACAAGACAACTAGAAAGGTGAGAAATGTTCACTCCTCTAGGTGAAGGAGAAAGCTACACAATGAAAGCTAATGAAAGTAACACTAGAAAAGTAGAAGAAAATTAGTTAATTTGGAGGGTTTATTCCACTTCCAAAGTTGTTCCTTTGCTCCAAGATGGTGGGGTATTTATAGGAGAAGAGAATACAAAAATCCGGACTTGAAGTTTTATCATTCTGGAAGAGGCATTTGAACCCTAGGTGGGGCATTTGAACGTTGCACCTGGCATTTAATGCTAACGAGAATCTTGTTTGGATGTCGTTGACTTTAAAGGGGGCATTCAACGCTAGGGGTAGGCATTCAAACATTGCCCCCAATCCTTGCTTCTTGTTTGATTTTGGCAGGATTTGTTTTTGACTTTTGATGGGTATTCGAACCCCTCCTTTGGCATTCGAATGGTGCCTCCTTCTAGAAGCTTTGGTTTGGCCGTGATAAAGACTATTTTGCCCTGCATTTCATGTCAGTGCTCCAATCTCTTTTTTTTTTTTTTTCTCAATTCCTCATTATTTATTTATAAATAGGATGTAAACTTCACACAATTAACTTGTACAAAGAATATTCAAATGTAAAGATTAAGGGTTAATCAACCTACTTGAATCGGTGCAATGTCCTAAATTGTAGTTATTCAGACTACTATAACGAGGCATAAGGCTACTTCTAGATTCCTTTTATGCCATTGAGTAAACCATTCATTTGAAGAAACAAATACTCGTGAAGAGAGGTAGAATGGAACTAAAAAGCGTTAGTGGGCAAAAATGAACTGAACGAGTTTATTGAATTTTGCACTAAAAGAATCAAAACAACGTTGCAATCACCAGATAGGTGATTGGATTAGAAGTAAACTAAACGAGAATAGAAAGCAAAGTAGCACAATGGCAAGATTGGTATGCTATTTATTGACTTGTTGATGCTGGTGTTAGACCCTTTTTCTAACCCATCTTCTTTGTTTAAGGCCATCTTTTTCGGCCACTCAGCTTGCACCTAAGGCCTCTCCCCCACAACGGCTACAACGTGTCCTCACTGGTCTGTAATGGATGCCTCTACTTTGCCACGTTTTGGTACGGCTCTACATGCTCTCAAGATCCTTGAAAATCTTCTGCGTAACTGTTAAATCGCATAAAACCTCTTCTGACCTTTGCTTAGCCCCGGATCTTGCCACATGCTCTTTTTCAGATTTTACATATTTTGGTGTAAACACTATCCAAGCGCACTTTTTATAAGATGGATTTTGTGAATTCGAGGTTTTTTTTTTATGAACATTCAAACAATACTTAATGAATGAAAGTAATTTTACTATTAAGTGCTTTTGATGAAGTACTTATTCAAAAAGTATTTTCTAAACACTACCTTGATTTTTCGTTAACGCAAGGAGTTTCCATTTAGAATCACTGGACATGTTCTGTTGTCTACCAAAATCTGTCAATCATATAAATGTTGTAGAGGGATATTTATTTATGCACTAAAGCCTGTCAAGTCCTTGGAGACTGGGTTATATTTATTCAACAACAGGAGCTGAGTCACACGATTTGCCTACGCAGGCCGTCGCTCCCAAGCTCCGAGTGTTAATTCGCCCTTTAAGAGCGAATTCGCCACAAATCCACGGATTCATTTTTTTTAAATCCACAAATTCATTTCCATAAATCGTGAATTCACATGAAGCACATTAAAAAAATTATATTAATAAAATTTTATATTCCATTTCTTTACTTCCAATTACACTTGTCTCGATAAAAAGAATTTCTAACTAAAACCTCACGTGAAAGTCACACCTGAAGCCTAAAAGGAAGGGAAGAGGGCACTGCCTTTTTATAAGCATATTAGCCTTTCCCTCGTTTGTCGACATAGGACAAAAATAAAAGGCATTAGAATACCTAGGCCTTAAAGCTTCCTTTAGTTTAAACTTTGAACATTTCTTTTTTGTATTGATTTCGTTCCTTCTTTTTTGCTAGGCCATGTTTTCTTTTCTTATTGTTTTTACCATAATCTTATTTTTGATACTTTGATATTGTGTATTAATATGTCATATATATAAATTTGACGCTCTTAGTGATGCTCTCGCTCTCAACTTTTTTTGAAATTTTACGCTTTTGTGCTCACGCTTTTGCTCCCACTTCTGCACCCGTTTATGCTTTATGTGATCTAGAATAGGACCTCTATTTATCAAACTTATAAGCAAAGAAATCATAATCAAAATATGATATAAATTAATGAGAAAATTGAATAGATACCCATGAAATGTGCCACTCTTTACATTTGGTCCCGTCCGCTTGAGTTTGTTTCAATTTTAATCTCATACTTTAAAACCATAGCAGTCAACCGCTTCTATCCAAGTTGAAAGAAGTGCATTGGGCTTTTGCCAATGTTTTACGGGGAGAACTGCACTGAAATGACTGTGACTACGGTTTTAAAAGTGTGCAAGTAAAATTGAGATTAACTGAGGTTTAAATGACAAATTAAAAAAACTAACGGGCCTTTGGTCCAACGGTACTCCTTGTCTTGTACTGGTATTTTATGAACAAAGATCATGAAATTTTGAGTTTTTTTGTTTGGTTAAATCTTAAAGACTAGCAACTGGTTATTCCTTAATCCTTCACACTTATGTCGATCATTCTTGATAAACAATCAACAACAGCATAAAAATTTGTTTATCTTCTAAAATTTTATTTTCCTTCAATTTTCTCGAACTTTGGAAGAAGACAACCTTGATAGTTTTTCCAGAAAAAAGACTTCACAATTTAAGAGAATGATCATAGCGTTGACCATGGAACTTCCTAGATAGTTATTTGCTGAAATTAGTCTTCTTTGATCAGTGCTTAGCAGGAAGATTCCTCTTTGAAACCTCAGAAAACAGTAATTCCAAGTCGTCCTTCATGTCTTGTGTCTCTTGGTCATATGGCTCCTCAATATGGCTTGTTGATGCTATCTCCTTGTTCTTTCCCCAGAGAACTCCATATAGTCCTATAACAATTAAGACAGACCCTACAACACTGAACCCAACCACAACAAAAGATTCATTATCCGAAATATGACAAAAATTGATCCGGATTATAGAACGAAAATATAACTTCATTTTGATAGACCCAATAGACATGCAAGCAATTGATTATTTTTGGAAGTGGGATGCATGCAGTTAGAGTACTAGGTTCCCTCAATTTCCGCAAATCCTATTGGAGCTGCTATATTCATGTGGGTTCCATATCAATTTACGACGGATCGAGTTATAGTTAAGAAAATGTTGTATTGCAGTGGGTTATAATCTTTATGACACAATAAACTTATAAATTACTAGCTTTTTAAATCAGGTGAAATAACAACATTCATTAATTAACCTTGGGCTAATTTTGGCAAAAAAATAAATAAATAAATTGAGATTCCGCATGCAAAATTCATAATTTATTGAAATAATCATGTACTTACGTTCCAACGAATAATTTCTCCTGAAGTAAAGCCCAACTGAGGATAGCAACAATGACAAGCAACAAGGGGCTGAACACTGAGACATAGAGAGGACCTTTCCTTTCGATACACCAAGACATAAGGCAAAATGCCATTGCAGAACAAACAATACCCTGAAATCACAAAAAGGTTTTAGTGTTAGTCATAATTTTACTAGCAAGAATAACTAAAATTAATTTATCACTCACACAAAGTTGTTTTACTTCCCCTATACATCCGTTTAGTAAACAAGAAGCAAAAGAGGACACTCATGGGCAACAAAAAAAACAAAAACAAAAACAAAAACAAAAGAGGACTCTGAATAATAACACTTTTGACCCCTTCACTTATGCTTATGCCCTTGTCTCGGGTTGCCTTCTCAATTGTAATGTTTCTTAAATTATACCGGCTACTATAGTTATTGGTTTTAATTAGCTTGCCCCACTTGCAGATGTCCATTATAACTGGAGAGAGAGAGAGAGTTGTGATATTTTACCTCTCAACTATTTGATTTTATTCAATTTGTCCAAAAAACAAGGTGGCTCAATTCAAAGTTGCCACTGGCTGTGCATTGGATCCTAATAACTTAACATATTTTTTGAATGATACTTACAGCATAAACACTTGAAACAGCTCGGATGCTAGGACTCAATGCCCATGCAGATGCCTCACGCTTAACCCCAAAGCCGATAATCACACATTGAAAGCTGGCCATTAAACACATCAACGCAGAACTTGAGTATGGAGCTGGATACTTGGTGCTCATTCTCGCCTGGTAATCATCCAATCAGTATCAATAAGTTACAGAGACCTTTAGAACTCTACATAAGTCTATCAGTATTTTTTTGATTATCGTCATGTGAAAACCTAATTTTTTTGAGTTAAGTTATAAATTTATGGTGTCTAGTTATAACTTTTGGGGTGTTTGGGACGGAACTTAATATTTTNTATAACAATTAAGACAGACCCTACAACACTGAACCCAACCACAACAAAAGATTCATTATCCGAAATATGACAAAAATTGATCCGGATTATAGAACGAAAATATAACTTCATTTTGATAGACCCAATAGACATGCAAGCAATTGATTATTTTTGGAAGTGGCATGCATGCAGTTAGAGTACTAGGTTCCCTCAATTTCCGCAAATCCTATTGGAGCTGCTATATTCATGTGGGTTCCATATCAATTTACGACGGATCGAGTTATAGTTAAGAAAATGTTGTATTGCAGTGGGTTATAATCTTTATGACACAATAAACTTATAAATTACTAGCTTTTTAAATGAGGTGAAATAACAACATTCATTAATTAACCTTGGGCTAATTTTGGCAAAAAAATAAATAAATAAATTGAGATTCCGCATGCAAAATTCATAATTTATTGAAATAATCATGTACTTACGTTCCAACGAATAATTTCTCCTGAAGTAAAGCCCAACTGAGGATAGCAACAATGACAAGCAACAAGGGGCTGAACACTGAGACATAGAGAGGACCTTTCCTTTCGATACACCAAGACATAAGGCAAAATGCCATTGCAGAACAAACAATACCCTGAAATCACAAAAAGGTTTTAGTGTTAGTCATAATTTTACTAGCAAGAATAACTAAAATTAATTTATCACTCACACAAAGTTGTTTTACTTCCCCTATACATCCGTTTAGTAAACAAGAAGCAAAAGAGGACACTCATGGGCAACAAAAAAAACAAAAACAAAAACAAAAACAAAAGAGGACTCTGAATAATAACACTTTTGACCCCTTCACTTATGCTTATGCCCTTGTCTCGGGTTGCCTTCTCAATTGTAATGTTTCTTAAATTATACCGGCTACTATAGTTATTGGTTTTAATTAGCTTGCCCCACTTGCAGATGTCCATTATAACTGGAGAGAGAGAGAGAGTTGTGATATTTTACCTCTCAACTATTTGATTTTATTCAATTTGTCCAAAAAACAAGGTGGCTCAATTCAAAGTTGCCACTGGCTGTGCATTGGATCCTAATAACTTAACATATTTTTTGAATGATACTTACAGCATAAACACTTGAAACAGCTCGGATGCTAGGACTCAATGCCCATGCAGATGCCTCACGCTTAACCCCAAAGCCGATAATCACACATTGAAAGCTGGCCATTAAACACATCAACGCAGAACTTGAGTATGGAGCTGGATACTTGGTGCTCATTCTCGCCTGGTAATCATCCAATCAGTATCAATAAGTTACAGAGACCTTTAGAACTCTACATAAGTCTATCAGTATTTTTTTGATTATCGTCATGTGAAAACCTAATTTTTTTGAGTTAAGTTATAAATTTATGGTGTCTAGTTATAACTTTTGGGGTGTTTGGGACGGAACTTAATATTTTAATCCCAAACACCCACAAAGTATTGTAACTTGATACAAAAATATTGTAATTTGACTCCAAAATTAAATTTTTTTTTTTAAAAACTAATCCTAACTTTTTATTGTAACTTAACTCCAAAAAAAAAATAGTATTTTGAACCGAAAATGTGGTAAGCCACCTCTTTGGGTACCCAAATCAAACCCTTTTAATCTATAATTCATTTGAACATTTGAGAGAGAGAGAGAGAGATGTTGGTGCTGACTTGGACAATGAACCAAACTGCCCAGGAAACTGAGCTTGCTATGAGAAGAAGGGGGCCCAAGATGAAGTTGGTGTGGGTGGCAGGATTAACGTTGGCCATCTTCTCTGCATATTTCCAGTGTATGGTTGATTCACCAATTGGGATGACAGGTCCATGGTAGAATGACAGTAGCATGGCACCACCTACACACACTAGGGTTCCCAACACCTTCGCTTGCCCAGGCCTCCTCTTTATTCCCACACTTTCTAATCTACCAAACAGAATTTAAAAGAACATAAAAAGATAAATGTAAGCACAGAAATTGCATGCCAAAGAATTTTTCTTGCAAATTTCTCCCTTTCTAAACTGTAAAATATATTTTTTTCAAATATACCTAAAGTGCAAACGAGACATCTTTTTTTCTTTCACCCCACTTTCTACCATTTTTTTTCTTTCTAATCAAACCAACCCTTAAAATTATTGGTAGACATGTAATTTAGCATCTTTGTTATGAGAGGATAAAAAAATAACTAAATCGAGAAGAAGGAAAATTACCGAAAGAAGACAGCAAGGAGAAAAGTTACTGCTGGGAGTATATTTGATAATGCACAAGCAATTGTTGGAGTAGAATTTTTCAGTCCAATAAAGTAAGTAATTTGGTTCAAAGTTGCCCTGCAGTATTCAGCACACGTTAGGATCTTTGAGAGAAATACAAATGGTGTGTTTGGTTTGGTTTTGCTATTGAAAAATGAGAACGGACTAAATTATTCTAGTGGTAACTTAATATCATTAGTTGGATCATTGTAAATTTTACCTATGTTGGTACAAAAATCGATAAGCATTTGAACTGAAGTGTGATTATCCAATTTTATCATTTTTTTAGGCCTCTCCCCGGCCTCCCTTCTGTCATTCGTAAAATTTTTATTGATTAAATTAGGATAATTAGAAATAGAAAAACTAAATTAGAACTAGTATCAAAATTGAGGGACATCTACAAAACGTACTCATCTTTCTTTCTCTAAAAAATCAAAAAACACCTAAAAGTGAACTTAGTTTTACTTAACCTAATTATTACACTAATTGAATTTACCATAAACAATGATAATCCATATGTTGGAGACCTGATCGGTATGAACTACGTATTGGGTATAAAACAATACTTAACTTCATCTCATACATTGATCTCTCATAATGCAAACATGAGAGAAAAGAATTAAAACTATGGAAGCAACCCTAATTGAAAACTTCTTTGAAACACGTTATAGATTGGTCATTAGGTTCCAAGATTGTCAGCAGAACCAGCAGGTAGCAATGCAATAGCAGTTACCAACTCTGCCTAAATGCATAGAGTATGTGACAAGGGAACTGAATCCATACCATGTCTCCATCATCTGGAGAATTCTTAGCCTCCTATAGGCCGGAGGTGGCTAATGTGAATTCTGGGACACTCTTTAATGAGTCATGAAAGGTTATTTTGTCAAGTGATGCTCCATTAAAATCGGATTCAGTTGGAAGTACTAGCTGAAGGNAACACCTAAAAGTGAACTTAGTTTTACTTAACCTAATTATTACACTAATTGAATTTACCATAAACAATGATAATCCATATGTTGGAGACCTGATCGGTATGAACTACGTATTGGGTATAAAACAATACTTAACTTCATCTCATACATTGATCTCTCATAATGCAAACATGAGAGAAAAGAATTAAAACTATGGAAGCAACCCTAATTGAAAACTTCTTTGAAACACGTTATAGATTGGTCATTAGGTTCCAAGATTGTCAGCAGAACCAGCAGGTAGCAATGCAATAGCAGTTACCAACTCTGCCTAAATGCATAGAGTATGTGACAAGGGAACTGAATCCATACCATGTCTCCATCATCTGGAGAATTCTTAGCCTCCTATAGGCCGGAGGTAGCTAATGTGAATTCTGGGACACTCTTTAGTGAGTCATGAAAGGTTATTTTGTCAAGTGATGCTCCATTAAAATCGGATTCAGTTGGAAGTACTAGCTGAAGACCTATACTTTCCTCGAAATTCTGTCTCGTAGAGCATATTCTTATTTCTATTGTACACTTTTGTTACACTAGGCTGAGCCTAATGTATTTTGACAAAGGCCTTGCCTCAAATGTACATTTTATTATTTCTATTTATACAGCATTTAAGGATAAAGTGATAGACCAATGGAATGGATTAGAATTAATTTTCCAATTCCACCCATATTTTACCCCAACCAAAAACGCCCCAAAAAAGAATATAAAAGCAATATTTTATTGCAAAAAAAAAATTTAGAATAAACAAATATTGAACAGTGAATTAGGATGCACTAAATTTAGGCAGAAAGGAAAGTGGGAGGCTGACGACTTACCCAAAAATTGAAGATAAGAAAATCTGGAAGAAAATAGGCAGTGTCATCTTAGGCCTTTTTTTTCTGCAAGTAACAAATGAGAATTCAATTGAACAGTGCCATCTAAAAAGGTCAATAATTAGTGGAGAAGTCCTTTGATGGTTAAGAAAAAGCATATATGATACATGCATTCATAAGATTTATCTCAAAAAAATGAAGGTGAAAATCAATTTCATGAACAGCCTCTGTTGTGCACTGTTGGATGTTTTAGCGACCCAAAAATTCAACAATTCAACAATTTACATTGATAGGCGGTAAGAGAAAGTTAATAAGAAAAAATAATTTTNTCTCAAAAAAATGAAGGTGAAAATCAATTTCATGAACAGCCTCTGTTGTGCACTGTTCAACAATTCAACAATTCAACAATTCAACAATTTACATTGATAGGCGGTAAGAGAAAGTTATTAAGAAAAAATAATTTGAAACAGGTTTATTGAATATATCATTTTTTTCATTTACACCTAGATATAATTACAAAAATGGATTTTGGGCTATATATCCATACATGGAAACCTATATAATTATGGTGTTTGAGTATGTAGTGGGTACCTTCTCTTTGTGAGTACATGCAGTTGGTTGCAAAACGAATATAAACTTTGAAAAAGATAAAATATCCATTAATATGAGGATTTAGCATTAACACAAAAGTCAATTATTCACAAACGGGGTTATTCTGAGTTTGTAAAGGTACTGGATCACCAAAAGAGAGTACTGCATTGGGTACTTATATAGATCGAGGAATTTCAATGTTTAATCTTTCTTTTTGCTTGTCAGCTACGCATGGAAACTGTGAGTTGGTTAAAGGCATCAGCATTGAAGCCTGTACCTTGCTTGGATGCATGCACACGCCAGTACACTACACACACATCCCATAAGAATATTTGGCTTTGACTTTGGCTCACAAATAGTAGCATATCTAACTACTTAGCGTCACATGGAGAACTTTTAATCTTACAAGCAATTTTAACATAAGGACCTTCTCAAAAATAGCCAAACATGATAACTAGACAGAGTCCAGAGATCCCCGTCACAAATAATATTGGATCTATAGGATCTGAGGCAGGTATTGAACTTACTTAATAAAATGTTTTCTTATTTTGGAATAATTTATTTTTTATTTAACAAAAATAGTTTGAGATATTCCTTTGCGTAGATTAAAATTTTTGAAATTCCTAAGCCTGATAGTTATATATTTCTGAGTTTTACTTCCGGTGGCTCTTTTTACAAACAAGTGGTTGAGTTTGATTTTTGTTAAACCAAAGATTTCAGGTTCAATCTCTTCCCACACTACCTAAAGGCTAGCTACCCTTATTTCTTTAGGGCATACTCCAACCTAACTCAAGCCATAATGTTAACCATTGAACTCGAAAAAGTAGTCGACATAAAGTTAGAAATCCTGTTGACAATATAATTTTACCTCTTAGTTGGGAACAAATCATGAAATTCACTCTAGAACGGGCCAAAGCATGGGCGGAGCTCCATGTGTTCTCCATTTTTTAATAACTATACATATAGTTATGTCAAAAAGACAGTATACTTGTAAAATGATATATCACTCATTTAACTTTTAAAATAATTGTGTAATAATTGATTTTTCATTAAATAGTGACTTATTACCCACTAACCTAGTAAACAAATTGTTTTTTTTCTATCAAATTGAGTATAAATGAATTTACTACACTATCTTGATTTTTTAGAAATAATTGCATAGTTGATCTTCATGAATTTTGAATAATTTAGGGGCCCATATCTAATGTCACTATTAGATGTAAATGGTAATATATCCTGACCCAAAACAATTTTTGACTCTTCTAAGATGAGAGATGAACTTTGCTGCGATTATAAAATAAATGATAGATTAACGTAAAATTAATCAAGTATAAATATTTTTGAGATTTAAAAGAACGTTATATTTTACTTTAATGATTGAGTTGAAGTATACAAAATAAATATTATTTCATACCTTTTTGTTCATATTTTGTTGAGGTTGAATAGTATCAATTTTATTCTTCATTTAATAATTTAGTCTTGAATTTCAAAATTTTTCCTTTAAGATTTTGTCCTTTTTGGTATGGGATTCTGGCCCCGCCTTCGGCCAAAGTACTTGGAGCAATGAACTGATAAGTTTTTAAAATAACTAGGAAAGAATTTTCAAAACATTTGGGTCGTGCCAATGAAAGAATTTCGAGTTTGAATGAAAGAATTTGTTATTTCTTTAGGGGTGATGACTTCATACTATATATTTCGGTAGATGAGTTTACAAGGGAAGTTGCAAGGCTGAGGAGCAAGTGACAAAGAGGCAGGACGTGTCGACGGTTCAAGGAAACTTTTGTCTAAACTGATTAAGACGTGGCAACAATTAGGAGTAGCATGACAAACATTTGACATGACAGTCAAGCATGCCCTTTTTGTCTACAAGAATGCTGCAGACACTATTTTTATACACCACTTCAACGTAAGCTATTAGATTAATAAGATTTATAAAATTTATTAAATATTTAATAATTTTGATTATATCAAATCAGATGGTCTAAGAGAGATAATATACAAAGATAGTGTCCACAACATTATTTTTTTGTGTATTCTCCACTTATAATCAGTCCTTTCTTCGTTTTTCTTTTTTCTTTTTTCTTTTTTTTATGAATATTTTCCAAACACGTTGCAATAAGTATTCACTCTCTCTAAACTTTCTTGTTTTGAACTTTTCAACATTCAAGAGAATCAGAAAACACACACACACTCTTATATAATACTTGGACATTACCTCTCCAAGAAATAAGCGAATGGAGCAATAGCTACGGTGGCAAAGATCTGCCGGTAAGTTACGTGGATAAATGGGTCCATGCCGGAATCCATGGCAAGCTTTGATACGATGTTCATTCCGGCATAGCCCAACTGTACAATAACCATGATCAAGAAAGGAAAGAAATCGCCTTCCATTTCGTCTTCCTTTACTTCCACTTCTCAGAGGAGAGAGAATAGGAAATATGAAGAAGAAAGGAGACGTATGAGAGATAAAGGGTTTTGGAGAGAATGAGATGGGGAGGGAATGGTTATATATGGTGGAAGAACAACAGAAAGGTGATCAAGAAAAGATTTTGAAGGGAAAAAAAGAAGCGTCAAGATTTCGATTTCTTGGAATACTTGTGGGGCTAGATGGAAGGGAAAAAGCTTGCCATTCTTGCATAAAGTTAGCTTTCTGTTCATCCCTAGTGTTTGCCAGCTTCAGAAAACTTGTAGTAACCAAACTGCACTTATTATGGACAAAGATTTGGGACCCACTTAATTTGGTTGTCCTGAGGAGGAGAAAATTTTGTATAAATTTATCATACACACCCAATAAAAAGTTATCGTATCAGACATGTAAGTTAAATTTTTTTAGGGTTAAAAATATTTTTGATCTCTAAAGTTTGTATTTTTTGTTAGTTTAATTTTCATTGTATTAATTTTTTCAATTTAATCCTCAAAGTATTTAATCCATGCTACTTTGATCCCTAATTAGACATTCTGTCAAGTTTTTTGACAAAAGTAAATATGTATTATTTTTTTAGACAGTATCACAAACCCAACACACGATTATTCCGTCAAAAACTTAATGATTATTCTATGTAGGAACTAAAATAACACAAATTAAATATTGTGATCAAATTGACAAAAATGGTACAATTATGACTAAATTGATAAAAACAAATACATTCTTGAGGGACCAAAAATACNTGTTAGTTTAATTTTCATTGTATTAATTTTTTCAATTTAATCCTCAAAGTATTTAATTCATGCTACTTTGATCCCTAATTAGACATTCTATCAAGTTTTTTGACAGAAGTAAATATGTATTATTTTTTTAGACAGTATCACAAACTCAACACACGATTATTCCGTCAAAAACTTAATGATTATTCTATGTAGGAACTAAAATAAGACAAATTAAATATTGCGATCAAATTGACAAAAATGATACAATTATGACTAAATTGATAAAAACAAATACATTCTTGAGGGACCAAAAATATTATTATCCCATTTAAAAAAAAATAATGAATGACAACTTCTCTTTGAGAATATACAATTTTTGAGTGGCCAAGTACACCACCTTGTTAAACTCACACAAAATTTCTTCATGGTATCTACATTCGAGTCATTTACAAAACTGTTATGGCGTAAACTTACAATAATGCAGCCTGAATTTATTTATTTATTTTTTTAAATTAATATATTGTGATCATATTGATAGTTTATTATTCAATGCCTGCAGCCCTGTTAGTAAATTAAGTTTGAATAATATTTCTGTAAAACTAAAATGCCAATGAAAGTTATGCGGCGAATGGAAACCGGTTTCAGTGTTGTCAAGATGCCGATATATTGTATGTGGGAAACTCGGACAATATGGTAGAAGGGAATTGATGGTTGATCCCACTGACAATGACATACAAATGAATTGAATTTACTATGGTTTTAGACGTCACAAATTCAATTTATAAAATAATTATATTATTTGGACATATTTTATTAATTTAATCTAGCATAATCATAGAATTAATTGTGGATCCTAATAAATAGTAGGACCAATTAACAGTTAAATAATTAAGAATAATTAAATTAACAAATTATGTTTAAGTAATATTGCTCTTTTATATGAAATAACACTGAATACATTTAATATTTTCTCAAATCTTAAATTGGTGGAAGCCTTGTGTATTGTTCTAATCTTCTCTACTTCAATCAATGTGCAGTTGACACCATAGGTTTAAAGTCACAAAATAATCTTTCCACAGATAGGGAAAGATTGTATGTATATTATCCTTTTCAAATCAACAGTAATAGGAACATCAGCCTTTTATATATCGTTGAAATTTTTAAGCAGCAAAAAAAGTTGATTTGTAATTCTAACTTGAAAGCAAAAGCTACGGTCGGAACCTCCTCCACATTATGGAGGGAGGGTCCTTTCTCAGCTACCTCAAAAGGTGAAGATCAGGATAAGTAAAGACTTTTGTACCGAAATGACGCAGACTTGATAGTTGCTGCCACTTAAAGTTTAAACACTCATTTTTTGCAGATTAAGGTATGAACTAGCTTGGGTCTTCCGTGTATCATATTGGTTCTGTATTTGTCACCAAAGAAGCAATCTATGGATAGGGTAGGAAGCAGATAAACTTCATTTGGCAAAGTAACCATTCATTTGACAAAGCAAATTAGGATATCAGTGGAGTCATATATATCTTATCCAGGTCATGCCATATTCAAGTCGTGTAATTTTTAATCCATACATGTCACACTCGATAGTCAGTATCATTTTCGTGTAATCTTTTCACAACAACATAGAAGATTAGAAGAAAATATTCGATGTAACGATATCAGCTTTGATAACTTGGTATTATCAACCAATTATAAAACTTTAAATGGGTAAAATGAGTTATACTTAAGTAATTATTGACTTATATGAAAGAAAAGTAAATAGTTATTAACTTACTTGGACAGGTAGTTATTAACTTATGTGGGGTCTATTTTTCTATTTATTTACACAGTATTGGTTAGAATACTGATGTGCTATCACTGTTGTAATGAATATTTTTTCAAAGATAAGGCACCCTTTTCTTTCAATGAAAACCACTCTATGTAGGCTTTCTGAATCGGCATATTGCTCTTTTCAGTAAAATTAAATAAAAAATAATTAATTCAAGAATAATGTTAGATCCAAAAATGGAAATATATATATACAAAACTATGCATTATATATCTCTATTAAATACAAGTTAAATAGGTTATTTATGTTTGATACTAATTTCACTCATTTGTAACATCTATTGAGCATACAGTAATGTTATACTGATCAAATTTTGAAATTAAATCAGTATATTATTTGAGCTCTAAATTTGATTCCATAATTTAATCAGTGTAACATTGCTCTTGAGCATATCGTTTCCCGCTCCAGATAATTCTAACCTGTCATTTTTGGGGTACACACAAAACAAGTAGAACGCCCGAGTCAAAAGCCTAGGGAAGCGAATATTCATCAAGTGACTCACAAACACAGGCTTCAATCTGGCAAGTTACAATGAGCAAAGTACACTAAACACCCCAAAGGTTTTGGACCATGGCCTGCCAGCTCGGCCCAAACATTTGTTCCTAATATGTAATATGTTATTCTATTAATAGTTAATTAGGCTAGGGTCCTCATTTGGTGTGTAAATTAATTTTAGTCTTGTTCAATTTTTAATATATAAAAAGGTCTTCCGTGTTTTTTAAAAAAATTGCATGTGGTCCCTAGGTAGGCGCAAACGTAGAGGGGTTGGGCAGCTAATGTGTTTTCATTACCCATTTGCCCTCATTACATGATTTCTGCTTAAAATACAGTTAATTTTTTTTTTTTCGTTTATAATTGAGAATTTTGTGGTGTTATCTATTAGTTTTGAATTTCAAATTTATGAACCAAGTAATTTGAAATATACAAGTCATTTATATTAAGTGTTGATTTGGTAGATACATAAATTAGATCACAGTAATTAAGTTTTACATATTCGTTGGTAAGTTTTGGTACATGTTTGTTATGATTTGTGTAATTTTGAAATGTGTTTGATTTTATGTACTTGTGTATCTGTATTGACGTATATGTATCTTCATCTCAATTAAATACTAATGTACATATCTTGTAGATGTATATATTCATATAATGTACTTGAATGATCGTGTATGTTACTCGTTATATATAATATTTTGTGTACTTATGTAAACACATATATATTAAGAGGTACGTTAATCGAGAACAAATCATCTTATTTTAATGTACTTATCTGACGATCTGTGTTTATGGAGAATAATGTACATTATGATGATATAGTTTTTTAGAATAAGTGTTTCAATTACGTGATATCATTGTCATTATTTTTTCAATTTTAAAGGATCGTTAGTTATATCCATTGCTTTGATTTTTTTAATAGGGACCTAATTCAAAAGTAATTGGTGAGTGAATTTTTTTTTGAAATCCTATTGGGTATAGGTAAGGCCTCCAAAAAACTCTTTTATTAATCCCATTGATTATTTTTACTATGTAATTATAGAAGTTGATGAATATGTATTAATATTCAATTTTAAAACATAGTGGGCCAAGAGGATTGCCAAAGGGTTGGGCCTTGTCTAGATAATCCATGGGAAATTTGGAAGCCGATGTAAAATTTTGGACTTAATTGAATTAAATTACATTAAGCAAACTTATTTGATCCTAAGTGTATTTTTTTGGACAAAGACTACAAAGTTATTCATTACTCCATTACTCTCTATTTCCTATTTTCTGTCAATCTCTCTCTCTATTATTGTCTTCGTCTTTCTCTCCGTTATTCTCTCTATCAATCCCCTATTTTCTCCCCCCCTCGTATTGATAATTTATTATTTTTTTTTCAAATATGTAAAAATTTGATTTGATTTGATTTTTTCATCTCTTTCTCCCTTATTTTTTTTTTCTCTTTCTCTCACACTCTCCCCCTAGTTTATCTCATTGTTACTCTTTCTCTCTTTAACATATCTTTCTCTTCTTACATCAACGTTACAACAATATAATTACACCAATGAGTTATATTTGTCTTATAATACTCAAAACAGTTATTTATGTGTTCTGATAAACCAAACTATTACATGAAATTACAACATCAACCCAATTTTTCATTCAGTTGTTTACATAAATTAAAAAGTTACACTATTTAGTATCATGGCATGGAGTTTACCATTACACCAAATATGGTGTATACAATTGGTATAACCATGTTATGATACTAAATTATGTAATTCTTTGATTTATGTAAATAACTAAATGAAAAATTGGGTTGATGTTATAATTTCGTATAATTGTTTGGTATAATTATTTGATTTATCAGAACACATGAGTAACTGTTTTATGTATTATAGGAAAATTATAACTAATTAGTTTAACTGACTAGTGTAATTGTGTTATTGTAACATTGATATAAAGAGAGAGTAAGGAGATAGAGAAACGGTGAGAGGAAATAAAGAGAGGGGGAGAGAGAGAAAAAAATAGGAGAGAGATATGAAAAACGTCAAATCAAATCTTTATATATTTGAAAAGAAAATAAATTATCAATGGGAGAGAGAAAGAAGAAAAATAGTGGAGAGGTAGAGAGATTAACAGAGAGAGAAAGAAAAATAGGAGGAGAGAGAGTAACGATGTAAGAAATAAGAGAAAAAGAGAAAGTGAAAAAACAAGAATTATATATAATTTAAGGAAGGGTAATTAAGTAGAATAAATAAAAGGTCATTTGAATTTTGAACCTAATCATAAGATGTTTTATTAAAATTGAACTTAATAGAATAAATAATTTATTTATACACTTTCTCTCAAATAAGTCTAATAAAATATGCCACACCCAAAAAACCCATAATCCATTTCAGTAGCCGACTCAATCCTAGTTCGTCCTGAGCCAGAGTTTTATGGCCAACCCAGGGCGGGCCTGGCCATAATCAATCTAGCCCAACATCAGGGCCAATGATAAATTGTTTATTAGAGATTTGGTGAAACATTCTAGAGAAATTTTTGGGGGTCGCTTACTTGATAGAAGAAAGACTATGTAACAAATAGTTAAATTTTCGTATAGTGCCGAATAGATAGATTGTTTGTTTGGTGTTTTTGTCTCTTATTTTGTGTTTTTATTTTTAATTTTTATCAAAAATAAAAACAAAAACGTGTTTAATAATTGTTTTTATTTTTTATTTTATCTAATTTGTCTTGAAAACAAACTAGAAAAATTGTAACTTGACATTAAAAAGTTATAATTTTCTGTAAGGTAATGTATATTTTATTTCTTATTATTTGTTATACACTTTTTTATGCATATTAATATTCTATTATGTTTTAGAATTGTATTGGTGCTATAAATGAAACTTATGTTGACTCACTTGTGCCAATGAGTAAACAAATCTCATAGCGTGGTAAGAAAAGTTGAACCAACACAAAATGTCATGTGTGCATATTAGTCCGACATGCGATCACATTTGTTATGAGTGGTTAGGAGGAACTGTTAATGACTTGATNATGTGTGCATATTAGTCCGACATGCGATCACATTTGTTATGAGTGGTTAGGAGGAATTGCTAATGACTTAAGAATATTTATTGAGTCCATTAACAATTAAGAAAATAATTTCCCAATGCCTGAAGGAGTTTATATTCTTCATTGTAACCTTTATTTGTATTTGTAGAATTTATAACTTATCACTTATTTTATAAGTGTACCATTTGACAAAAAAATATTATGTTTTTGATGTTGGATATACAAACATGTTTGAATTTTTGTTATCATATCGTGGTGAGATATATCATTTACGTGACTATAGAGGTAGTAACTGATGTCCAATGAGTAAGATAGAGTTATTCAATTACCGTCACTCATCACTTTGGAATGTCATTAAGTGTTGTTTTAGAGTACTAAATGCTCGATTTCTTAATCTCAAACAAATGGCCCTTACCTTATAAAAACACAAAAATATATTTCAACAATTTGTTGTACCTATTCACAACTTTATTAGAATGCACGCTGCTCAAGATCAATTATTTGATGAGTTCAATAATAAAGAAAGGGTGATGATAATGCAGGATCGATTTCAAAGAACCTGATTAAAGTAGATATCAATTTAACTCAGATTTATCAAAATGACTCGTGTGCGAAATTGTATTGCCAATGAGTTGTGGGCAAGTGTTAGACATTGAGACATATGATTTTTGGTGTATATGGATTATTATCTCAAATTATTATTAATGAGTTGATGTTTATATAGATTATTATCTTGGATTTTTGTAAATTATGAGATATATTTGTAGTATGAATGTTTTATGAATTATGTTATGCTTTAATGTATTATCCCTATATTCTGTTATTTTTACAGTTAAAGTAGCATGAAAATGTTTGATGTAAATAAGTTCTTCATAAAATAATTTAGAAGTGTTTATCAAGCTAATTTTTTGTTTCTATTTTCATTTTTTTATAATAGAAAATACAATCAAACAAGTTTTCTATTTTTATTTTTTTTATAAAAAAAATCAAAACTATTTTAATAGTTATTTTTAAAAAAAATTAAAAATCGACAACATTTCCAAATGTAACCTAAAAAAAAAGAATGCGAGAGAAAAGAAAAATATAAATGTGAATTAGTGAGACTATATGATATTTAAGAGCGTTTTAGTTGAATTATCTGATATTAAAAGTCGTGTAAAAAAGATGATAATTTTGTTATAAAAAAATAAATTAACGAATCGAAATAAGTAAAAATAAATTATTCATAATTATTATTTGAATTTTATAAATTAAAAATTAATATTGTACTATTAGATTGAAAATTGACGCAAGAGGGGTCGACTAATCGTCCAACCATTTGTCTGCACTCTGCAGTTTACCCATAATCCGGATGAAATCCGTGGACCCCACATAGTGCGTCACAGCCTTTCTAAAGTTCCAAAGCACTGTAATTGCAAAGCATGTCCAAGCAAAATCAGTGCCTTATGCCAATGGCTTCACTCACTTCACTCTCTCGTCTCTCTACTCCTACCCATTTCTTTACACTAACTCTTCTCTTTGTCTTTCTCTCTCTTCCACTAACAGTTCTCTGTCGGTGCACGAAATCACCTGTAATATTCAATTTCGGCGATTCCAACTCGGACACCGGTGGACTCGTCGCCGGACTCGGTTTTCCCGTCAACCTTCCCAATGGTCGCACCTTTTTTGGGAGATCAACCGGTCGACTCTCCGATGGACGTCTTGTGATCGATTTTCTCTGTAAGTTGCCCAACCTACTAAAATATTGATTGTAACAGACGTTAGTTCTACTTATCAGTGCATTTCTACATTTTCTGTCACATTCATGTGATTTTTTTTTTATTGTTGTTACCCAAAAATTTCCTTCATTGCTCATCTTTTAACTGTTTATGTGTACATTTCTGTTCTGTCTCATTCATGTAATTTTCTTCTCAAATTCCACTTCACATTTTTGCATTATTTTTATAACTTTTCTTCTATATAAAAAAATTACCACATTTGTGTATTTTATCATGGATATTTTTATTACATTTAAAAGTATTTTTATCCCTATTGTGCTACTAATTTTTTACCATTTTTTGGAACACTACAACATAATATAAAAACACCGAAAGAGTCGCGTCTGAGACAGAGGACGTTTCGTCGTCCGGCTCCTCCTCTTAAATAAAGATAGGATCGGCCTGAGTCATCTCGAAAAATCACAAATGTGATACATAGAGACATTATACTGATTTTTTTATTTTTTATTTTTATACCATAATCTTTTCTGTGATTTGTTGGTTAGGTAATGATAGTTAGTGTACGAAAATTTCGTCATTCAAGACGTGGATGTTGCGGTTTTAAAACAAATTCACAGCGGCCACCGACATGGTGCGGGCCGACTAGATTAAAATTAGTGGGCCCTACATAAAATAATTATCATTAAATTTGAGAAAAAAATATTCTATGGAATTTTTATTGCAACGAAAACAATGGTAGCCATGTTTTAAAATTTTTGTGGGGTCTATTGTTATCAAAGTGATCGCGAAACAAGGGCCATTTTTGCCATATGATGTGATCAAGCCTGGGTCCTGTACATAATGGGTTGTTGTACATGGACAGCTTCTTATATTTTTATATCTCCACGTGTACGGTGGAGAAAACCGCATATTTCAGGGTTTTGCTTTGTTATGGACTAGGGCTATTATTAACTGGACAAACGTGGTCGCAGATTCACAGTATATTTGACTTTTTTGTGCAGGCCAAAGTGTGAACACTAGTTTTCTGAGCCCATACCTGGACTCGGTGGGGACTACATTTTCAAATGGAGCAAATTTTGCAGTGGTGGGGTCCTCTACTTTGCCTAAATACGTACCCTTTGCATTGAATGTTCAGGTTCTGCAGTTCCTTCATTTCAAGGCTAGGTCCCTTGAACTTGTTCATGCAGGTAATTGCTCAGTTCACTTTCTCAGGGTTTCACTTGTAACCTTGGTTACCTAAACTAGGAGGGAAAAGGGTTGCACACATTATGCTCTGATTGACCTTCAAGGGAAGTGCCAACTGCCAAGAAATAACATAGCTAATTTTTTGGTTAGTAGTCATGCCCTACTTGTGTTACACGTAAAAAAAAGTTTTAAGAATATGCGTACCTAAATTAAATACTATCTGAAATTTTATAAAAATTATATTTTTATCGCTCGTATTATATTATAGTCTATAGAATTCAGATAATTTTGTTTGTTCTCAACAATTCATTGTTATAAGTATAAGAAAAAAAAGATAAAAATAATTAATTTTGAAATTCATTTCAACTTAGAATTCATTAAATAATAAAAATAATTATTAATATTCTAATCAATGCTTATTTTTAAAGGGTAATATAATTAATTAAAAAGTTTCATAAATATTAATATTTATACATTGAGAATAGAAAATTAAAAAAATTGTTAGGAGTAATTTGAAGATTTAAACACATAAGAATATGATAGTAATTTAGATATTTAACTACGGAAGGATATTGTGGTATTTAAAATTATTTATAAGGGTAATATAATAAATCAAAAAATTTTCATGCTGAGTTACTTTTATTAATAGTATAGAAGTATTAATAAAAGTATAGACATAAGAACTAAGAAGATTGTTAAATTGAAAAATTGTTGCTTTTTGTTTGAATTATACTAATGGTACATTCATAAAAACACATTTACATGCAGCGCTATTCATTACAATATGACTTCAACTTACTAAAATGCAGTAAAACTCTTATGTAAAACTACCTGGATTCTGCATTGAAAACCAAAATCCTAGGTTTTCAGTTTGCTGCTTTTGACTTGCATTTACATGTGTCAACAACGGAATTTTGCTATGGCCAGATAATTTTCTTCTTCCATAGCTCAACATATAAGATATTTAAATTTTTATAGATTAGATGGTTGCAATTAATTATCTTAAACATCCTAGCTATGGCATAGACCTGATCATTTGATCTCAAAACAATCAACAGAATGAAAAATCCAGAAACCCTAATTAAGCTCCACAAGTGACAAACTTTTGTAGATTATGATTAGTAGAACTTCTATTGGGAAATGATGCTTAAAGTTGTGAGATTATTATTTTTTTGTTTTTGTTGTTGTAGTTGACACTGTTTCTGTTTTTTGTCTTGCTGTGGTTGGAAGTAGTAATACAATGGTGAATTGATGTCATTCTAAACTTATGTTAGGCTCTGGAAATCTAATTGATGATGAAGGATTCCGTAATGCTCTCTATATGATCGACATTGGACAAAATGACCTCTCTGATTCATTTGCTAAGAACCTGTCTTATGCGCAAGTTGTCAAAAAAATCCCATCCATAATTACAGAAATCAAGAATGCTATTCAGGTGAGTTTAGAAGTCCAACCTACAACAGGAAGGGCAGTGATGAGAGCTATTCTCAAATTCTTGAAATTTTACTTTCTATTTCTCTCACTCTTCCTGTTTTAAACATTACCTTGAAATCCTGTTTTTTGAATTTTCTTTTGCTCGTCATTCTTTGAAAACTGAAAAGATATGCATCATAACCAACTCTAGAAACCTGTCAAAGGCAAAACATTGTCACAGTAACAACTTAGACTACTAAGATTTATGGCTGAATTTTCTTGTAGTTGATGAGAACTTTCTTGGAAAACTAAGGAGAAAAAGGTCCAAACTTTGCAATGTGGACCCAACCTGCTGTGGGTAATTTACATAAAATAAAATGATTTATTGCTCTGTTAGAAAAGCTAATCTTTGTGTTCAAATGCTAATTAAGAAGGTGTGAGTTCTTGATCGAGCTTGGTTTTTCTTTTATGGCAAATTTAGGCTGTATATAGTCAAGGTGGCAGGAAATTTTGGGTCCACAACTCAGGGCCATTGGGCTGTCTCCCTCAAAAAATCTCACTAGTTCAAAAAACTTCCAAAGATCTTGATCCTTATGGTTGTCTTTCAAGTTACAATGCTGCTGCAAAATTATTCAATGAAGGTCTGCGCCATCTGTGCCAAGAATTGAGAACTGCATTGAGAGATGCTACTGTTGTGTATGTGGATATATACGCGATCAAGTATGATTTCATCGTCAACTCTAGCAAATATGGTAAGCTTTTCAATCTTTTATCGGTTTTTCTATTCAAACTAGTGAACTAAATAATTGAATTTTAGCTTGTGGATATGATGACTAGGATCAGAGTTATCATACATCTTAAGAACACACATCTGAAATGAGATGCCTGGGGATCGCTATACACTTAATTGTCTTGCATCTGAATCCCATATAAAAAAGTGGGGTCTCAAGAACCATAGAGTGTGGGACCATGTGCGTTGAAAATGAAATGGATTAATTCTTGTGCTGCATCTTTCGAGAGACCTTATTCTTCTGACATAATGATTTCATTATTTTGATAAAATCATGTTAGGATCCTTTTCTTTTATCTCACAGATATTTTCAATGCAACACATGAAAGTGGCATTCCAATTTGTAGTTCTAGAATTTGACAAGATTTTTTTCCTTTGAAAGGACTCATATTCAAACAAATGGCTTCCTCATTTTTCTTTTCTTTTTTTGTTTTTGTTTTTTTTTTTTTTGCAAGAAACAGTTGTAATTATTAGGGGTGCAAGTCGGGCGGGTTGAACAATTAACCCTAGTCCAACTCTAGATGTATAATCTTTAACTCTAACCCTAACCCTACTTCGAGTTGGGGAACTCAACCCGAGTTTAATTCGGGCGGGCTCGGGTTGATGATTTCGGGGTGATTTCGAGTTATTTTACGGGTTTAATTCGGGTAGAGCCCAAAATAGGCTTGTTGTTCTAAACCTAATACGTATATTACATGATATTCACCTAAATTAACAACCAATAACTTCAACCAAATTTTTAACGAGAGAGGCTGAGAGAACGAGAGAGGCAAAGAGAACGAGAGAGATAGAGAACGATAGAACAAAAATGAAAAATCAATGCTAATGCTTTATATATATATAATTTTTTTTTAATTTGTCGGGTTCGTGTTGAACACGGGTTCACGAGGCGTTAACCCGAGCCCAACTCAAATTCAATTTGGGTTGAGATTTTTTGACCCCAGCCCAACTTAAGTATTAAAAATTCTTGCCCAAGTCCTAATTTTTTCGGGTTGGGCTCGGGTTGAAATCGGGTTGCCCAACCTAAGTTGTACCTCTAGTAATTATATTAAGAAGGAATGTCTGCAAACAGTAGAGGCATGGTAAAATTAGATGCCTGCTCTAGCCATACATCAGAATTACTAATGAAGCGAGCATGTCTAGCTAGTTGATGTAAAACCCTACTACCTTCATACGAGGTGTTAACACTAGGACAAAGCCTGGAATTCAACCCTCATATTCCTGATATCTGATGGCATCTAAAGGAGAAAAATCTTCCCACATACTGCCAATACTCCCTACCAACCACTGTTTCTATAACCTCTACTCCATTGTTGGCAGCCATTTTCTTGGAGAAGGCAGCCGCAAAATACTTACATTTATTACCAGACAAGGGATGACTCGTGCCTGAAGGCACGGTTCAATGTGAATGGTTTTGAAAGAGATGTTACTGGTTGTTGGATGAGTTTATTTGAGAACGTCGGATAGACTTATTGAAGCACGTCCTGTTTTATATTATAGATTAGCCAACAGAACACTGATAGGTGATCTATCTCAAAGGTGGCACCATCAAAATTAATTTGAACATACCTGCCTACCCTGGGAGGCTCCCAGGCACTCCACAGAATGAGGAAACAAGTCAAAAGAACCACTGTCCATCAACTGTTGGGATTGCCGTTGAGTATGTTTCAGCTGCCTTTGTAATCTCTGCAGTTGAGTGCCTTGGAAGATCACTTCTTTTCCCCTTCTCCAAACCATCCAACAATGAACAAGGAAAAGTAAATAATTATCCCAATTAAGAACCTTACTGGACTTACGTAGCCATTGATCTGGATCTCTTTCCTGCCAGCTTCCCTATTTTTCGTTTCCGTATTACTGGAGTGACTTTTTTTCTGGTACAAGTTCAAAAACGCATGCATAGAATTCACATCAGTTATAGGAGAATGAAATTTCTATTCTTCTACTGTTTATCGGATTGCCCTTCTTAGTCTAGCTGATGAAGGCTCCAACTCAGTGGCAGAATGATATCTCTAGATTCTAATTGCTTTTCTTTGATCACTAAAGTCAACTTGCCAACGTTTTTGATGGTGTTCAAATTGCAGATTTCTCAAGTCCTTTGATGGCATGTTGCGGCTTTGGAGGACCTCCATACAACTACAATATCAAGGTGACTTGTGGTCAGCCCGGGTATCAGGTCTGCAATGTAGGATCTCCATTCTTAAGTTGGGATGGAATCCATTACAGTGAAGCAGCTAATTCAATTGTAACCTCAAAAATACTTTCCACCGCGTATTCTACGCCGCGTATTGCCTTTGATTTCTTTTGCCAATGATAGTTATTCATCACTCAAAGGCATGGGGTTCTTAGTTGTGCTAAAGTGGGTTGGTGAAAACCAGTCGTGGTGATTGATTATAAATTGTTAGAATTGATCTTAAAATTTAGTATTGATCCAAAATACTGAAAAGGGTTGTAACCTAAAAAATTGTAATTTTTTAGGATCGATCCAAATATGTTAGGATCTATGAATTTTTCTTATTGTAACTTAATCTAAAAAATTGTATTTTGGACAAAAAGACAATAAACTTTCCTATTGTATTTTTTTGGGTATCAAGATCAAATCATTGAAAGCAGCCAAGGTGATGGTCATGCTCCATAAATTTAGTAGGGATCAGGCTGTGTTTGAGTTGGGCTCTGCCCCTTTTGTGCCAAACCAGGTATGAAGTATCCATGTGGGTACAAACACGTATTTTTGAGATTTTTTTTTTTTTGCTTGGGAAGGATGGAATGTGCTTCGTGCACTTCATTGCAACTTGGATCACTGGTTGGACAAATCATATTAATGTATTTTTTTTTATTCCACCTGATGGTGAATCCCCCACATGTTGTTTAGGGTACCAATTTATAGTTAATGCCTCGTGCATGTGTATTGGAGGTAGGTGTGTTAAATGTGTTGGATTAAACAGTTATGTGTCAAGTTAAATAGGTGACGAGTGAAAAACATATAAATCTGTACACGACACGGTGAATAATCTTAATACGAACACAACCCGTTTAATAAACGTGTCGCACAACACGATTTGTTAAAGTTGTTTAATTTTAAAGAAATTATATCTAACAAATTCTAATATTCTATTTTTTTTTATTGTCAACTGTACTTATCTCAAAGAAGAGGAATTTTTAGTTAAATCTCACATAAAAATCAGAATTGAAGGCTAAAACAGAAGANCTAATATTCTATTTTTTTTTATTGTCAACTGTACTTATCTCAAAGAAGAGGAATTTTTAGTTAAATCTCACATAAAAATCAGAATTGAAGGCTAAAAAAGAAGGCAAGAGGCCACTGTCTTTTATAGTCAAGTTAGCCCTCTTCATCTCTCCTCATTTGTCGATATGGGATAAAAACAAAAAATATTAGTTTGTCTTTATCTTTGAACTGCTCTCCATCTCTCCTAATTTGTCTTTGAACTATTTTTTACTTTTGTTTTTTTTTTGTATTGATTTATTTACTTCTTTTTTCTAGCTAATTTTTTTAACTAATTATTAATTTATTATTATATTAATTTTATTTAAACGGGTAAACGTGTAATAAGAGGTTTGACAGGTCTCACCCAAACATGACTCGCTTATTAAACGTGTTTGGCGAGTCAACCCGTTTATCATACAAATCCATTAAGATCTTATTTAAACCTGCTTAATTGGTGTTAGTTAATCGTGTAGTGTCGAGTTTTGACAGGCCTAATTAGAGGTATATAATAGGTAATCTATAATTGGATAAAATTGAGTGTAAGAGTGTTGCAGTAATTTCACTTTGAAATGATGGACAATAGCTTAAAAGAAGAAACGATGAATAAACTTATCTAAACATCATATTTGACTATTATGATAAATTTCATATATAGTTCGACGTAATAAAATGACCTGAATTATTCCCTCTGAGCTGAAAATTTTAAACACACGGGTTGTGTGGTATACATCTCTTGGGATTTTGTTGCCGACATGATTGCAGGACAATTTACCATGCTGCTCCTCAACATTAAAAGTTAAGGGTTAAAACCTTTTGACTGTCTTCTTCACCAACCCCTCCACCAGCCCGCTGTTATTGTGGACCAGGTTTCTTCTTCTTCCCCTCTCTCTCTCTCTCTCCCTCCATGGATCTAGACTTGGGTCCTAGCTCTTGGCTCACCGTGGATCTAGACTTTTTTAATTTTCTTTTTATAATGGGATGTTTTAATTATAGCATAATGGAATTATAACATAAAGAACCAAAAAAAATTGATTCAAAATATATTTCTCTTCTACTAAGGTGGAAATATTAGTATGTAATAGTTGCAGGGATGACATTTTTGGGTAGAGTGAATAGTGTATGGAATGCAAAATTCAGATTTTGTACAATAATTTACCATTACAAAATTTTCAGTACAAAATTCAAATGTAAACTACTCCTGGCAAGCCAACACATGACATAGACTTGGCTTGGATTATAATTTCAAGGATATGATGGTAAATTGATATCAAAGTAATGAGATTTGATTTCTATCTAAGTTGGCTGGTAAATGGGGCCCACATTTGCCTAAGGTGATAACCAAATGGAGGATTGGATAACTTTTCCAAGCTTGCCGTCGTATGTTAATGGATTGGCTTGGATAGTGTTTGTCTTCCAAGAGCATCTTCCATGCTGATCCAAATTCAAATTTAAATTTGAATAAAAAAATATGAGTAAAAAAATTAATTTGATACAAGGCACTCTAATGGACAAATTTAAAGTTAAAAGAATGTAAAATATGGTCATTGAATTTTTTAAAACAATAAAATCTGATCATTGAAGATTTGAGTAAAAGTTTGAGTCTACCTTGATTCAAGTAAAAACTTAAGTTTTCCTTCATTTGGTATAGGTTTAAATCAAAGACTAGAGCTTATTTTTTATCTATTTTTATTCATATTTAAATTTGAGTCAGGAGTTGATATGGCCTAAATCCAAATTAGTCCAGCCCTCCTTGGCTAGCCAAACATGCCCAATGAAAATGGGATGGAGTAATGGGTGGGATTGAAAAAAAAAAAAAAACAGTCGAGGGATCCTCATTTTCCATGTTTGGCAAATTTATAAGCATGAGGATTTAACAATTAGGCTTTTTTTGCTTAGTTTGCAGAGTTTATTTAAGCATATGTTTATTGGTTTATATAGACCCACACAGGGAGTGGTATTAAAATGGTGGGATTGTGATTATCATCAAAATTATGAAAGGTTTTTTGGTGGTCAGTTCTATGTAGTGATATTTTAAGTTAGATGATCTGAGCACTTATTTTTTGGGTCTTTAAAGACAAATTCATATCAAATAAAAAGTGGTATCACCATTATAATTTAAATAGAAAGTTTAATAATACCCATATAAAACACACATTTTAAAATTTAAATAAAATTAGTCTCCTTCATTTTGGATCTGTTATCATGTATGAATATACATATATATACATTTATGAGAGAGAATATTCTAATTTGGAGAGAAAAATATCATAAGCCAAATTTGTGATTTTGCAGAAGGCTCTTCTTTTGTCATTCATTCCATTACTATTGACTCATCAATTTGCTCTTTTAGAAGCACAATATCAAGTTTCCCAAGTTGATGTGGTTCACCTTTATTTTATCTTGCATTTTCAAAGATTTTTTTAAATTGGTGATCAACCCAACATTCTTTACAATCTCTTATTTCCTCTGCATCTAAAGCTTTTATAAAGGCCTTCAGAGGTGATTTAGAGATCGTTAGTTCTAATAACTGAGTTAAGGGTAAGGTTAAGTCTTCCTTCAAAAGCTTGATGTCATTTGTCAAAAGTTGTTCTTTTCTTTCTCTTGACAGTCTGGTATTTGGCATAGTAATAGGAAAAGCCTCTAAGATGAGTTCTGTTTAAAAGTAGAGCTTGACATCTGCATAATGAGATTCTTCCATTGAGAAAGACTTAATCTCAGTAATGACTTGCCTCACTTTTCTGTCATGACAATATTTAAAGGATCGATGCAATGTTGATGACATAAATCCTGTCTCATGGAGTCAAGGCCGTCCCAGTAGTAGCTCGTAAGATGTTTTGGAATCAATGACATGGAAGCAGGTAAAAGACACCAATTCCCTAGNCGTCCTAGTAGTAGCTCGTAAGATGTTTTGGAATCAATGACATGGAAGCAGGTAAAAGACACCAATTCCCTAGTCTTGATCTTGAGGCAAGTCATACCACTGTGCCCTCACTGATTGAAACTTTTAATCGTTAGTCTACTCTTTGATAACTCATCCATGGAAATATCAAATAGTTTCATAGTGTCAATTGGTATGGTGTTGACAATTGATCCACAATCAATCAAAATACGAGACACTTTATAATATATCCACTAATGTAAAAGGGTATGTTATGTGTGTGAGACCCTAGTAACAAATCTTCATCAATGAATGAGATTGTTGCCATACAATCGACATGAGTAACTCGATCGGCACAAGTTAGAATATTCTTTTTATATCTTTCTGGGTTTTCCAAAGCTTGTACCAGTGCTTTAAGGGTTTCTTCAAATAATTCAAGTGCCGCAAACAGAATGAGGTTTGATAGCACTTCTTTTAGTATTATAATCATCCTTTCTTCGTCTACCAGTGCTTCCTTCTAGGCACCTATAATCCCCAGACCTTTATTTGATGGAGCATCAGTTATGCATTTATCTTTGCGAACACTAATCACATAAGATTTAATGAGTTCTCTTGTAATAATTTCTTGGGAAAGTACTCTAGCAAAGTTACAGGTGGACGAGAAGACTAGGAAGGAACTCTTGTTTTTACCTANAATAATTTCTTGGGAAAGTACTCTAGCAAAGTTACAGGTGGACGAGAAGACTAGGAAGGAACTCTTGTTTTTACCTAGTATTTGAAATTTTAGCGAGAATGAGATCCCTTTTTTCTTTTTGGGTGTCTTGGTTGAATAGTTGAAGAAAATGTATGTTATATCTTACAGCATGTACGAGACTTCATCGTAGTCAATTCTTTTAGATCTTCTTCAATAACACAGACTCATGCAAATGAGGTCACCTAGTTGGATTGAGCTCCAAGATAAATGTTCCCAGAATGAGTTCTACGTCATCTGGTAGATTGATTACTTTGTATTAGCATTCGNAACACAGACTCATGCAAATGAGGTCACCTAGTTGGATTGAGCTCCAAGATAAATGTTCCCAGAATGAGTTCTACGTCATCTGGTAGATTGATTACTTTGTATTAGCATTCGAGCTTCAGTGTTTATCTTTTTTGATAACGAAATTTGACTAGCCATCTCCAATCTCATCTTCCAATTCAAACGATGATGTCTAAACATCTAGATCGCTTGTCTTCTTCTCGATCTGCTGCTTTAGTATTTTTTATTTAAAAAGGGATTTCCCTTCTGTTTGAACCGTGCTTAGCTTAGATATACTAACTAGGTCCCGATCAGATAGCTTTCTTAAGGATTGACTATCCTATAACTCATGTTTTCTACCAACGGACCTTTGGTTCAATGGTATTCCTTACCTTGTGAAGGCTTTGTCTTCTTGAGGTCAATGGTTCAAGTCTCCCTCCCCTCTCCCTACCCCCCCTAAAAAAAAGACTAATAAACACAAAAAAAAATAAATATATAT